TCAAACAGACCATAAAGCAGGGGATGCTTTAGGGCGGGGCTACACAGGGATAAACAAACAGAGGAGTCGCCCCCTGGTGGACATTAGAGAGAATGCAGCTTTAACACATGAAGCTTTCATTCTATAACACATTGGATGGACAGGCTTATTACAGCTACAGATTATATGTATTATTTTGTCAGAGCATTAGATTTATAGATTGCTGTCTGGAAAAGAGAATTTCAACAAATATTTAAAATCTATATTGTTTGAAGAGTACCAACTCTAGCTTTAAGACCATTTACTCTTATTAATATGATCTCTGCCTCTGTCAATATGACCGTTACTATGATGACCTGGCTGTTCTTTAATACGAGCAACTCCTCCTCATGTGACACATCTGTCATAAAAACAATAATAATAAATAAAAACATTTTATCAAACTAAATGTTGCCCGTTTCTCTCTCCACAGATTCCAGCAGCAGTAAACCGTCGCTCGTCTCCAGTTTGGACTGTTTGTCCAGCATCGTGGAGCGGATCAGCACAGATCCGGCTGTGGCCCCTCCAGGGGACAGCGTGGTCCCCCGGGGCCCCGGATCGCCTCAGAGCAGCCCCGCAGGCTCCAGTTCCTCCGCTGAACCCAACAGCATCTACGAGCCGCTGTGAGCCCGACGGAGCCGAGGACTCGAATTCCACAAAAACACCAAAACTAACTTTATTTTCCTGAAGTTTGATTTTCTTCAGTTTTTATCCTCCTGAACAAACTGAACGCTGCTGTTATGTTTTATTACTCTCATCGGAAAAAAAGACTCATTTCTGCTGCAGAAATGATGACGAGGACCATTTTATACATCTGTAAATAAGAGCTGTTTGTTCATACTATACACACACGCGTACACACACGTGTACACACACGCGCACGCACACACACACGCGCACACGCACACACACGGGATGCTGCGATTGTTGTGTCATATGTTTCTATGTATTATTTATGAGTGAATGGCATTTTAATAAAGAAATATTTATATTCAGTAGAATCTTTCAATGTCTTTCTCTAATATTTTATGAATGGAGCCTCGATTATAAACTGAAACGCTTCACTTTTCTTGTATTTTCTTATTTTTATTTGAGTCTTCTAGATCTTTTCCTCCTTTGTTCCAAACATGTTATGCAGCTAAATTTGATTTAATTCCAATATTGAGTGAATTGAAAGAGTAAAGTTGTTAAAAACCAAAGTTTGTGAGGATGATTGAACTCCTTCAGGTACACATTTCATCCGTCGTTAATACTAAATATTAATTAAAGCAGCGTTACAGCATCAGAACCTAAATCGTACGGTTGATTCTGATGCCAAATTTTCAGGAAATGACAAAACTCACACAATTATGTGAAAATGACCAATAATAAACACAGAGCCAGCAACAAAGGAAACACATCACCAAACCAACACAAAGATATGTTTTAACGATATAAACACACATTAAGATGCATTGTTTGTGCACAAAGTGCACACGCGCACACACACACACACACACCTACACTTACACACACACACACACCTAAACACACACACGCACACACCTACATACACACACACAACCATCACGGAAGGTTTGTTGTACTCACATGTCTGAAGTCAGTCTGTGAGTGAAGTCCTCCTCGATCAGCTCCAGGTTCAACTCGTTCAGCTAGCTAGCTTAGCTAACAGCTAGCTAGCTAGCTTAGCTAACAGCTTAGTTAACATAGCTAGCTAGTTTAGCTAACAGCTAGCTAGTTTAGCTAACAGCTAGCTAGTTTAGCTAATCTACTAGAGCTCTCCTCTGGTAGATTACAACGGATTTGTCATATGTTTTACTGAATATAGGACAATAATAAAGATCACATTTATTCTTCGGATCGGCGAACTGCATGAGGCATCCCACTTGCCCGAAAAGGGAGTTTACTTTCCCCCAGAGAAGCTTAATATCATGCAACACGAATCTTTTCTGGAGGGTGAGCAGAGCGTCACCTCTCAGGAGCTCTGCACAATACTTATGATTTTAAAAAAGTAAAGTTAAATTAAATTCAAGTTAAAAATGTTTGTAGGCTTACAAAGAGCACAAAAATAAGACTGTCATTCTGTTACTTTCACCTGATTCTTAAATTTCCAATAAAAGTCTGAGAAATTGACTGCAAAACATTTCAGAAGCAGAATGTTGATATGAAATATGAAATGTCGGCTCAACAATAATATCCATACACATGTGTATATGATGGAATAAAACACATCATTATATTATGTCTAATACATAAAAAGTAACAATATTATTCCCTTCAGATACAAGTTTGTGAAACAGTCAAAAGAAAAGGCAGTTTAACTGCATGAACCTACGTTTATTAGAAGCTAATCATTTAAACCGATCAAACAGATTGATTGACACAAACCTCAACATACAGGCTGGATGATCAATAATTATGACATTTTATTGTCTGAATCTATTTTTTATTTTTTATTACACAAGCACCGTGATGACATTTTTAAAATGTATTTATTAGAGCTGAATTCATCAAGCAGACACTAAGACGTCCAGTTGCTCCGGAGCTCCGGGTGTCGACCGGGTCTGAGCCGCTGCTGTAGCCGAGGGGAGGCGCCTCTTTTCCGGGCTGACCGAAGCTCAGCAGCCGCTCACTTCCTGCGGCGCGCGGCGGCTCCCTTCTTGCTGCTGCAAAGCGCAAAGTGCAAAAAACAGATGTGTACGGAGATGCTTTATGGTGACTTTGAGTTTAATATGATAGATGGATAGATATTTTAAGAAATATAAAATATATAAGAAAGCACAAGATATAATAATAAACCAACTACTGGAGCAGTTTCTTGAAGCTACATCGCCCTCTAGTGTCCAGACATAAGCTTACTAGTTACAACCATATACCTACATTATTAATTATATATAAATAATATATATATAATATATTATCTGTATAAAGTCAGCTATAATAAGGGTTAAATTAAAACAAACTGATGTTGAAATGAAGGTAGATAATTTCAGATAAAAACAAAACAAAAAGCAAGTAAATCAATTATTATAATTTGTGGTGAAAGTACTAAAAAAACAAGTACTGTACTGAAGTACATTTTTGAGGTACTATATTTATCTATATTTATATATAAACTACATTTATTTGAAGGCTTTAGTTAGTAGTTCAATTGTATTGTATTAATACTAGGTTTAAACCAACTAATACATATTATTAAATATTAAACTACCCAGCAGTATTAGTTTACTTTTAGTATATAAAGTAGTTTGAATCAGCTCTATATTTACTACCAACAATATTAAACATTAATGCATCAATTGTTATCCAAAAATGGAATATATATTATTATAAAATGGGTCATTCTACTCAATGAGTATTTTACTTTTACTAGTATTTCTTTACTCTGCAGTACTGCGACTTTAAGTAAAGTAAAAGATCTAAATGCTTCTTCCACCTCTGAGTAAATTAAATTATAATAAAACCCCTTTTTTCATCGTTGTTTTCACTAAAGTATCAACCTCACACAGAGTTTGTACGTTTGGATTTTGAAGGAGTTTTTCTGTGTGTGATAGAATAAATATCTGGGGTGTGATGAACTGTGATGAAGTTTCTGTGAACGCTTTCTTGGTGTTCATGTGGAGCAACTTACTGTTTCTGCAGCTCATCGATGCGGTTTCTGAGAGAGACCACCTGGAAGACAAACAGCCGGGATGTCACCTTCAGGACTCTGTGATCCTCTGATTGAAGCCGCTTTTTACACATTAAAATATCCGCTCATGAACACACCGTACAACATGTCAAACTCCTGCTGAGTGTCAATGGGAGATTCACACAAAAACAAACAAAAGTTCAGTATAATCTTCTTTTTCTTATCTGTCACCCAACAGCTGTAGCAAACTAATGGCCCCAGCAACTTTTGTTTTTCTTTCTGTTTTGACGACCTACTGTATCGTTGTTTTACTGAAAAAATAAATGATCCTTTGTTTGACCTGAAATACTCTAGAGAGCACATTTTCATGCACGGTTTAATATAAACTTTAATGCAAACATTATATAGCAATTTTGAGAAAACAGAGATATGATTTTGTGCTCTCAGCATGCATCAGGGAGGGAGACAAACACCCTTAATCTACACTTCTTTGTTACATTAAAGGTCCAGTGTGTAGCATTTAGGGGAGTCTATCAGCAGAAATAGAATATAATATTAATAAATATGCTTCCTTTAGTGTATAATCACCTGGAACTAAGAATCTATGTGTTTTCTTTAGCTTAGCATAACTTCAGAGGGAACAGCTCCTCCTCACAGAGTCCGCCATGTTTCTATGGAAGCCCAGAACGGGCAAACCAAACACCGGCATTGGAGGGAGTCTTTCATGTTATGAAGTTACCTGAAGGCCACCGTAGTTCTCTTACTCTTGGATATAGTTTAGAGGAGTGAGCGAAAGGATGTTTAGTTGGTGTGCAATCTGCAACTTCACCACTAGATGTTGCCAAATCCCACACACTGGTCCTTTGAGGCATTTTACACTTTATTGTGTAAAATGTTTTTATCGTCTGTATTGAAATACGTTGGTCTTACAATAAAGTTCTTTATACTACAAGTGTTGCTGGAGTTTTGACCTCTTCAGACTTTTTCCCTCAATGCATTCTGGGAGAAGGTGAAGTTTCCTCACTGACCTCATATCTCTGCCTCGTGAGCTTCTCGCAGTGGTCGTATTTAATTGCCTCCAGGTTGTGCAGCCACTCCCACAGCTCCTTCGCCTTTTCCCTGAAAAACACAAACCAGGAACCAAACATTCAATGAACACTTCTGCAAAAGCTTAAAAACATTTACATGCTGCTTCCTGCAAATTAGTCCGAAAAAAAAAAATCACCTCATGTTAAAACTTTGCTGTGTTTATCTCTTGAGCCAGTCGCTGTTGTTTTAAACTACTTTTGAAGTTTTGCATGTGACGTGTGGCGGAGAAAACATTATTCTCTTGGGTGACAGCACTAAAATGTCCATAGCCTGTACGTATGTAGCCCAATGCATAATACCTCAAAAACAGGAATCTGACCAGCACATCAGCGCTATTCTCTTTGAAACCTTGTCTCTTTTGCTTAGTTTTCTCTTTCTTTTCTCCCAGAAAACATATATTAGGACTTTTCTGCCAAGAGGATCATGCGATTGGTTGCATGTGTGAATCTCTGTGTCTGTCCACAGCTGATCTTTTATTCTGCTGCAGCAAACTGCATAATATTTCGCGTGCCCGGTTAAAGCTGCATGCTCAAGAACCTCTCGTGGTTGCGGTGACTCACGCTTTCTCAAAACACCTTTTTTTTTTTTACCTGTTTCATACTGCCATTGACTGCTTGCTGACTCCTCACTCACTACTCTTAACCGGCCCCCGGACAAGAGTTTACTTAAGTCAATGTTGACTTATTTGACACGTAACTTCAGTACTTAAGTAACGTCACTTCCTTCCGTAGTTATCTTAACCCAGACCACAACCTTTTTCTGAACACTGCAGAGACTTGCAAAGGAGCCCTGATCTCTGCTGGACATTCATAGGAAAAAAAACATACATCATACCAACCGTTGCATTACGAAACATTGCAATGGATTACTTTGATACTAAAGAAAACTTAAAAATGTGATAACTCGCAGGCAAGTCCTGGGGTTAAAAGAGTTAAAAGAGATTATATTTGGTGAAAATTAATACATTTGTACTTTGTTCTCATCAGTTTTTTATATTTGTGCGACCAGAGGATAAAGAAAACGTTTCCAGGTGTGCTCATGTGTAGGTGTTGCGTTGTTAAGTGTTCTCTAACTGCTCCTCAAGCATTTTAACCACAGGGACGAATACTCTCCGTGGGGACATTTCTGCATTATCCTTCCTCCCTGTGGGTTACCTCATATTGTCCTCACTGAAACCGTCGACGTTCAGGGGTTGGCATCTCTCTGACATGATCTTCTTCTTCTTCTCTCTTTCCGTCTGCTTCTTGCCTCTCTTCTGGTCAACCTAGAAAACAAACGTGACCGGTTAAAAAACGTCACGTCTTTACAAACAAAGAAAATACATGTTGTTACCTGGTTTGAATGAAGTTGAAGCGACGACCAAAAAGAAAAGAAAGAATTAAAAATAAAGCTACCTTCTGCAGGCTGCTGTAGCCTGAACCCATGCCGCTCAGTGTTAACTTCTTCTTGGCTTCAGCCTCAGCCTTCCAGTGGGCGTCGGCTTCCTCCTTCCTCTGCCGCTCAGCCTGTGAAATACATTTTCAAAAACATCGTGATCTAACCAGTTATATTTTTTTCCTTAGAGTAACTTAACAGCATCTGAGAATGTTTGTCTTTGCTGACCTCTAGTGATTAAACTTATCACCTTGCTGCGGTGATGTATAAATGTACTCGGTACACTCTAACGTCACTGCTAGGTGACATACTTTAAACTCTTCACCAGAAGAGGTCCGAGTGATGCTGCTTTTCAGCCCGCTGTTAAGTTATACGCTAATGTGTGATACGATACGATAAGGATACGATAAGGATAGGATATGATAACGATAGAATGAGGATACGATGAGGATACGATAAGGATACGATAAGATAAGATAAGTATAAATAAGGAT